TTGTACAGCGTGGCAATATTATCTATCTAACAGATCAAGCGCTCACCACGGCGGTTCACCATAAATTTCAAAATTCAAAGTCCTATTCTTCGACTTCGGCATCCCTAAAATAAGTTAACGTTTAAAGGCTGTAAATTTAATATTTTGAATTGGCCTAAATGTAGTTTGTATTTGCATTTGATAATTGGATTTTTTGTATGATCGTATCAATAAAACATTTTTGTAAATGCCGAATGAAGATGATAAGTTCGATTAAGTTCAAGAAGTCAATTATATCTTCACGCGTGTAATCCCTTTAGGCATAAGAAGAGATAAATTTTCAATAAATTTCACAAATTAAATTTTGATAGTTTCACAGAAATCTTAAAAACTTTTAGCGGTAGATAATCTAATTTCTTTGGGACTGATAATATTTTGATATGGACGTGAATTTCCATTGAAGTTTCCTTAATTAATTTTATATTTAATACAAAAATTAACTTATTCTTATATAATTACAACAGATAGAAAGAAAAGAGCATAGCCCTCTTCATAGTTTGCTGAGTGTCTTTCAAATTCACGAGTAGTAATTAAGGACCACGTTTTAGTTCCAGTAAGCCAACACTAGTAATAGGCACTGGTTGTACACCTTACATTCACAGATTTATCGTAAAGCGGACAAGAAGATTTGTCGCAATTTCCCGAATTTCCCAAATGACAAATCGGATTTAACGGTTGGCCTCTCAGTCGAAGTTGGATTTACCTAATCGGATATTTTGTCCCAGGTACACACATTCGTCAATAACATCGAGCATAGTGTTCCTTGCAAGTACAGGTATATGTGTAACATGGTGGTTAGACATGACTTTTATATTAGTACGGCAATTAATGCATCGTGTGGGTTTAGAACGGAATCAAAGTACCTCAGCGTGGCTTTACTATGTTGTCTCAAATTAACATATTGCGCTGTCATTTTAGTGATGAGAGTAATGAAGCGTTCAGGAAGGGTCCAGTGATTGTGTAGTCCGGTTAACCGGTGTTTGTAAACAACTTTTAGTTTTATCTAGGTTTTAGTGTGGGTGGGTGCCACAGCTTCTAAGCCCCCATACCATAACAGGGTTTAAGAAAGTCGTACACCTACTGCTTTGATAGGATAATGCTCTTGTATACGGGAAGGTAGGTTATCTTAGACTTTTACTGACTAAAATGCCATTGTATTCGTAATTTTCCGTACATCATCAGGGCCAAAGAAATAATTTTTATACATATTATTGCAAGCATATACATAATTTCATTACAGAGTTTGTGTATCCAAAGAGTAAATCCTTCCTTTTTTCAGTTATAACTTATCAACACTATACTACAACTAAGTAATTAACCCTACTTACTTGGTAGAGCCACACTGCAGATATTTATAGCTGTAGCATGAATGGGTCAGCTCGACCACGATAGGACCACGCTCTCACGGAATAACAGCGTGAAATAGCATTACCGCTGTCCTGTGTCGTGTGGCTAATGAAAAGAACCGGAGACTACTTACTTTACTTACTTATCTTCACGCACAATCCCTGACGGGGTAGCCAGAGAGAACAGATCGCCAAGTGTCACGATCCTTACATACCTCTTTCGCTTCTTTCAGATTCATTATCTTCTTCATGCATGCACCTCTAAGTATCCGAGTACTTTTGACCCTACCCTCTTCGAGCAATTTGCTCACATGGTCTTCGAACGTTAGTCTCGGTCTACCTCGACACCTTTTAATATTAACTTTCGCGCTATATATTTTCTTCACCATTCGGTCTTCACTCATTCGCTCAACGTGCCCAAACCACCGAAGCACGCCCTTATCAATTTTTGTGATAAGGTCATCTTTCAAACCTGCCATATTGCGAATCTCTTCGTTTCGCTTTCGGTCGGCCATGGTAACCTTATGGAGACCTTTTTAAATTATAACGAGGCATTCTATTTTAGTCTTTAGAAGTGACAATGCTTCTGCATTTTGATTCATAATCGATGATATATGTAGATGTCTATGGGCCACCTACCACCTACCATTAGGTGGGCTGTGTGCTCGTTTATGACCCTTATTCTATAAAAGCAATCCCTAAAATATCGGAATATGTGGTTACCTATCAATGTACTTTTGGATGTGCTATTGGTACGTTATTGATTACTCGTAACGTTCATATTATTGGCTTTCGATATAATTGGAGTAGACATGGCATGCTTAACTCCTCACATTCCGATGAAATTTGTGCTATGAATTTGGATTTGTTTTATTCTTTGGATAAAATGTTCTTTTTATTCCATTCAACAAAGTATTAGCAAAGTAGTTCTTAATTAAAAACAAGAAATTATCTTTAAAAAATAAACGTAGCTTATCTTATTCTTTCCCGCAGCGAACTGCAGTTATAACAATGCAAATGCTGCAAAAGTTTTAATCTCCTAACAAAACCTACATTACAGGTTACTTTTCAGCTTAAATTTTCTGAAGCTGGCGTTAATATATTATGTTACATTTTATTTACGAAGCATTATTTTAACGCTAATCGTACCATAAATACATGTAGTTGTTCAGTAAATAATAAAATAAGAAAAACGCGCAAATCATAATATAATTTGATTTAATAGTTTGCTACTGTAAAAATCTGAAAAAAATATGAATGCCTCATGAGCGTTAAATTTAATTTCAATTCAAACACTGCTACTGATATTACCGTATAATTGCAGGGTAGGGTTATGATAGAGGTGTTTTAAGAACACAAAATTGCTTGACCTTGTTGTGTCGAGAGTAAAACACACCTTAACGCTTCGCGTTATGAGGCGTACAATAAGAAGCCGAGATAGTTCAGGGACTAAGCGCTCGTCGTTTATATTAAAGGAGTAAAGAGCCCAATTAGGATCACCGCAGTCGCCTATAAAATTGTTGATTGAAATTTTAAGTGCTGATTTACCATGTGCTCGAAGGTGAAGGGAAAAAACTTGATGAAACCTGAATGTCCGGGAATTTGTTCCTCGGAAATTTCGAGAACACGCATTAGAACAGCGTGATGGACTACTAACTGCTCCCTAAACTTCTCGGAAAAAGAAAGCAAGCCAGTGGCCAGCTGTGGGACTTATACAGGCTGTAACTAATTAAAAATATTTTGCAAGGAAAGTTTTGTTAATAAATAGTGTTGCTTGCCGAAGATCCCGATACTAGATGCGGCTTGAGCTCTTGGAGTGATGATTTTATTGTTTCTAAGGATTTCCAACTTAAATCTTTCTTTTAATGATATACCTTTCTTTTATTGATATGAGCAATAAATATTTTTATATTTGTTTGTGTGTCGAAACCGGTAAACGAAAACATCGCGTTTCGAAAATGGCTTTAAAATTTAAATTAAAGTTTCATTGAAATATACAATGTTGTAAGTTTCATTAAAAAACACGAATGGAAATGGCGGCAGCACTATGCCGGGGGGAAACCCCGCTGCCGCGGCAAGTTGTCGCGCAGCGGACAGACTTCCGGCATGATCTCATGGCGACATGGAGAGAGCGACTGTCGCAACCCCGTGCTGGGCACGCCACTATAGCGGCGATAAGACCCCTCTTTGAGGAGTGGCTTGAGAGACGCCACGGCGTCCTCACCTTCCGCCTGACGCAGGTCCTCACCGGACACGGTGTGTTCGGGAGGTTCCTGCACCGAATCGGGCGGGAGGAAACGCCCGGGTGCTCCCACTGCGAGGATCGACCGGAGGACACGGTGGAGCACACCGTGGAGGTGTGCTCTGCTTGGGCGGAGCACCGCCGTGTCCTCGTAGCGGCGATAGGCGGCGGCGACCTCTCGCGTCCGGCTCTGGTCGAAGCCATGGTCCGGAGCGAGACGGAATGGGATGCCGTCACCACCTTCTGCGAAGCAGTGATGCTAGCGAAGGAGGTGGCGGAGCGGGAGAAGGAAAGAGCAACAGCTTTCCTTCCCGGCCGCCGCGGGAGACGCCCCGGGCGTCGGGGGCTACGCCGTGGCCCCCGACCACCGTAGGCGCGGGCCTGTGGACGGCGAGCAATGGGTAGCTCGCCGTCCGTCCGTCTAACGACGACAGGCCGTGTCGACGGCGCGTTTTGTTCCACACGCGCCTCAAAGAGCTGTCAGCAGCGTGAAGGGGCCCGCAAGGGCCGACGCCTGCCGGGGCTGCGGGCTGTTCGAAAGAGATACCGCGGCTCCGGAACGTAAGGGCACTGAAGGAACACGGATGGTTTTTAGTCAGTAAAAGTCTGACACTCCCTTCCGCTCCACCCACAGCGAAAGGCGTCATTAGATGATTTTCCATCCGCAAAAAAAAAAAAAAAAAAAAAAGGCAAGGCGCCTGCTCTTTTGCCCTTGCTATAAAAAATGTGGTTTATGGGGACGAAAAACTATCACAAAGGAAAAGACTTGAATTTCTCGGGTCATAATTTTTATTGGTAATTTCGCCTCAGAGATCAATTTGTCAACAGCTCAATGACTAGAGCTTAGGTCTGCCACACATGTTTTAAGCGTATTCAAGTTATATTTATTTTTGTTCTATAATATATATGAATTGCAGCCCAGGCCATTGCTGGGCAAATCTAAATTATTATAGACAAATAAAGTGTTTGGTTTGCGGTGTTGCATACTTTTTGACGATGAGGTCAAAGTTTTGGTCTAAAATTTTTGATTACAGTATTTTTACAGAAAATTATTGTCGCCTATTTAATACTTTTTTAAATTATATGTATGTAAGTGATTTCTGGAATACGGCTAAAATGGTTTGGATGACATTTTGTACTTAGATCTTTTTTTATTTACAAGTTTATGTGTTGAGTAGTCCCTGAGGAAATTATAAATATATTTTTCTTGGCGCCGAGTAAAACTCGGTCGCCCAAGTACTGCATATTATGTTAGGATAATTAAGCATACAAATAATTTGCGTTTTATGTTACGTTTAAAGCGAAAAGCAACAAGTGTAGATATTTCTCTTCTCTAATCGAAATCTTTATTTTTGTTACAGATAACTATCATCATGAAACAGATTACAAAATATATCATCATTATTGCATCAGTAATGACTGTAGAATTAAAGGTCACTGAGAGCAAAAATGAGACGAAGCCTATCATTGACAGGCGTTATTATCAAGTTCCCCTCTTCATCAATATCTGTGACATTGAGGATCGACGGTCAAAAGTTCATTGCTACTGCGACAGTAATAAACCTAAAATGGCTACGAGAGCTGATTGCTGGATATTCAGTGGGGGTTTAACTGAAGAAGATCCAATATGGCCTAGTTTTTCTTCTCAAGCTCAAATTCAACATTTAATGTTCAACGTCCGATCAGACGATGCTTTAACATTTATTCCGGCTAAAGCTATTATAAGACTTGATAAACTCAAACATTTGTCTATACAATTTGGTACAATAAATAAAATACCACCATACGCTTTTACAAATTCCTCGACCGTAAGACAGATAGTTCTTAAATCTAACAAAATTACTAATTTAGAGAAGCACTCTTTTTCACAATTAATGATGTTAACTAATTTAACATTAGATGACAACCAAATATCAGAATTAAAAAGAGATGTATTTTTTAATTTGCCGAACCTACACATTTTGCATTTATCCAACAATAACATAAGCCTCCTTCATGAAGGGTGCTTTAAACACTTAAACAACTTATTAGAACTCAATTTAGACTATAACTACATATCGGTTGTAACAAGAGAAATGCTAGAAGGCCTCGAAAATCTCTCTAGATTAAACTTGAGAAGCAATAAACTGGCAATGATCGGAAATTTGGCTTTTAGCGAGTTGTGGGGTTTAAAAGAATTGATGCTAGATAACAATGCTATAGAATACATTTCAGAGAGAGCGTTTGGAGGACTTGCTCAATTAAGAAAGTTAACGTTATCAGGAAATAGGTTAAGCACCTTTTACGAAGATATTCTTGAAGATACACGAAACCTTGCAGTATTAGATCTAAAGGACAATTTATTAACGTTTATGTCTTATGAAACTGTTCGAAATATTGTAGAAAATGATAAATCTGTATCCTCTGTTGTATATTTGGACGGTGAGTATTTAAACATATTTATGGTCAGATTTTTTTTCTTTGTCGGCTCATTAAAATTCATTGCTGGACATGGGCGTCTCTTGTTGTAGGGAGAAGACATGTGGATTGACAATAATTGTACCAGATGTCTAGTACCTTTGACTCTGCTGTCCTTCGCCGGTCTGAGTATTTTCTAATATATAATATCGTTTATCAGGTTACGGTAAAATATTGCTTGCACTTCCCCAAAGGTTATAGGCATAGTTGGACCCGGTAGTTGGCGCTGTTGTAGAACCCAGATATTATCTCCCGTGCGAAGCCGGGGCAAATCGCTAGTTTTATATGAAAGTAATTAATCATACGCCAATATTATATTTAGATAGATTTATAAGTAAATCTGTAATTTGTTTTACTAGGATAATTTTATATCTTTCTTAATATCGTGAGTGTTTCTTATTAATTTTTAGTTAGAAATTTAATGGTCTTTTATTTTTAAACTCCTAAAACATACTTGTATTTTATCCACAGCGATTCGAACTGTACCTATATTTTGCAATGGGTCCTAATAAATTATCTCGGCAACATTGAGAAATAGCTTTTTATTTGCAAGCATTTCTGCTTGTTTATTAGGTATTTTATAGCTCTTTTGTGTTCGCTCGTATACAGTTTGCTTCATATTATTCATGAGTGGGTTATTCACTGCCATTGTTGTGTGAATTGAATACAAAAATGGTATTTCATGTGTATAAGTATAAGGCGGTTTTATACATATTAATGTGTGAGTATAAATTATTGTAGCTAGTCTATTGTTAGATGACTTATAAAAACCTTTTCACTAGAGGCGGGTATTTGTTAAGTCAGTATAAATAAATTCGTGTGTAAGGTTTTTTATGGATAGTATAATCATTAAAGTTAGTAGAAATTTAAAATTTGAATTTATGATGGGACAAATTACATAATTAACAAACTACATAGTTTTATTAAATTGAATTTAAAGATACAACAAATCAAATTGTTTTTAACAATAAAATTATTTATTTTGTAAGTGCAAGCGATTGAAAACAAAAACAACTGCTCGAAAATTCTGCAATTGAAATCTTCTACTACCGTCGTTTATATATTTTGGCTATCTGAAAATGTACCTATACTTCCAAGAGAAAAGTCATAACGTAAAAATAAAATTAGCATTAAAATTCATAAAACGTAAAAAAAACCATTGAACTAATTTTTAGTAAACAATATAATCATAATTATAAACACTTATGTGGGGTGGTGTAGGCACAGACTACGGACTTCTGACATAACTTTTTCTCAAATACATGTTTTTAGTTCAAGGGAAAGTTTAACTTGGCCCATCCTCAATATATTGCCAATTTGGTCTATCATCTCTTGTTTCAGGTATTCGTTGCAACCCCCCCCCCCTCCCCAAATCTTTTCTAGAGTATAAATTGGCTTTACGACACTTTCCTCATTAATTTTTTACGTGTTCAAAGCACCGAAGTATTGAACAAAACCATTTCTACGGATTGTATCGCGTTTAATATAACTATTTTTTAATTCCCGACATTTTGGCTGTTCTACAGCACCTAGTTACACATATGCGAGTATAAATAATCGTGTGTACAGTGATCTTTTAACAATCGTGTTACTTCGAAACGACTTCGCCAATTGAGACCGTTCATGCAATGTATTTGGAAAATTAGGACGATGGTTCATAGCTATGCTAGAATTCGATAGGTGGCGCTGTAGTCAAGTAATTAACAAAAGTTATATATTTTTTATAAGTAGTAAAATATCTTGTGCTGATGAATGATGTGCGCTGTGGTCGACTTATTAATAAAATTTATATTTACACTGTTCAAGTCCGGAGTCAATTTGGAGCGAAATTCATCGTGCCACCTAACGTAAAAGGCCGAATAACGTCATCCGATCTAATCAGTGTTGCATTAAAAGGAAAATTTATTGAAAGTAATTCGTAAACGTCATTTCTCTATAATTTATGCACTTCTTGTTTCAGGCAACCCGTTTAAATGTAATTGCCGGCTATCCTGGATCTACAATCTGCTTAATGAGACTAAGAGCAGTGAAATGAAGGAGGCACTTGAAAAAGTATCCTGCGTTGAGAACAACGACAGACATTTGAACGTTCATAACAATGAGGAAGCTGAGAATGGAAACGTTTTATCAGATGACAATTATGAGTACTATGACAAAAATGAGGAGTATTTAGATAGAGAGAAACCAAAGTTGAACAAAGCAAAAAAGTTGACTGACCTACCTTTGGATTCACTTCCTTGCCCGAAAGAAATTTTACAATCTGTTGAAGAATCTTACGGCCAGCCGATTCAGAATGAAATAAGACTCAAAGCTTTTTCTGAAGTTGGAAGAAGTATGCCCAATTTTGTTTTTGTTTTAACTGTAATCATAATATTGTTTTAAACTTAGTCAAAATGAACAAAACTATTTGTGATATTAGGTGGTATAAGTTTATTTATCTTTATTAAGTTGGTCATCATTAACAATAAAAAAATGGATAAAAACAATATTTCCTTTTCCTTTAAATTAATTATTAAAATTTAGAGTGAAACTACTTTAGACAAAGTTAATAATAATATATTGAAGTGTATAAATACTTAAGCCTTCAAATGTTCTTTATAGATGTTACGGTCCTGTATTATAACTGATTATATATTTTAAATTTAAATTCAAGAGGATATATATAGTAATTATGCTTCATACCCAAACATTTGGTCTGTAAAAATGAAATGTTGTAAATAACAGCTAATACTGTAAATACTTTGTACATTTCAGTGTATCGACTAAGCCAATACTTTTAAGTGTGAATTATTATTGAGTTTTCAAAACCCAAGAAATAAGTAAGCTTAATAATGAATAACTCAATTATTATATAATTCAATGATCGTGTACATACAGTCTTGTAGTAAGTATTGTTAAGTGTTACTAAAAATAATTTAAACAATGATAGTATTTTATCTATCCTACGTCTCTCTCTTCATCTTGATTTATTTATATTTAATAAGTTGAAACATGGATTATCCACCATTTTTTATTATTAATGCTATAAACGTATTTATAATTGTTTTGTGTATATCTTATATCTATATAATTATATTATCTATATAGTTGTGAGTGATCGATTGGCTTGGGATGACATTATTTGTTAATTTCGTAAAAAGTATTTTATTAAAGCATTTAGCTAATAAGCAACTGTGTTATAAAATGATATGATTGTAACTGAATTCTGTTGTAATAAATATTTCTACCTGAGTCATTATTTTTTTCTAATCCTAGTTGTAGAAATAAGAACAACAATTCACGTTTGAAAACAAAACGACCATCAATCCACCTTGTCTGCAAACGCTCAGACGCGAGGTCTTCCTTATTCAGGCGTTAGTTTGCGGAAGCTCATTATATTAAAGTTAGTAAAAATTACTTCACGTAAATCTGCTCGATAAAATGAAGAGAGTAGAAGTAGAGGCGAAACACGTTTCATATTGTCGTCAGTGGTGTGTCTTTCCTAGTGTAGTTGTATTGGGAGTAGTGGTGCTGGGATTAGTGATGACGGTGATGTGCACGCCATTGAGGGAGGGCGGGAGGTGCTCTTTAAACTAGGTAAGACACATCGAGCAGATGTACGCGAAGTAATTTTTTACCAACTTTAATTTCCTTATTATTAACAAAATCAGTTAAGGGGGGTCATTTTAGAAGCGTGCTCGTCGCGACCCCTGCCAGCCCTTTTCAGGGCTGCAATTCTACACAGCTGTGCACCCATGCCAACGAGGGTTAGGGCGTCTCCCCAAGGCGACGCACACCAGCTCGTCCCCGTTGGTGTGGAATGCAGCGCGCAAAGCGGCGATGGGGACCGCCACCCGTCACGCACAACCCAATACGGCGGAAGTTGGAGAACAGAGTGCAGAGTTGGCATGTGGAATGTTAGAGGAGGCATGAGAGATAAGACGAATGAGCTGATCGAAATAATGAAAGAAAGAGAATTAGATGTCGTGTGTATGTCGGAGACCAAACAGAAGGGCAGTGGTACTGAAGAGCTCCCTGGCTGGAAGTTAGCTCTATGGTCCGGAGTCCCGGAGAGCGAGAGTGCCTGCCAAGGAGTGGGGGTGCTGCTGTCGTCTCGTCTCGGTTGGTCGATGTTATGACTGATTATATAAGGTTGTGAACTCAAGACTTCTCTGAGTTCGCTTTAACTTGGGACTGACGAAGTTATTTCTTTTGGCTGTTTATGCGCCGGTAGCTTCGTCGTCTAGGGCTGAGCTGGAGGAGTTTTGGGAGAATGTAAGAGAATTTCTAGATTTGGTTAGGGGAAACGAAAGAATTGTTGTATGTGGTGATTTGAATGGTTGGGTTCGTACCGCTCGACCAGGGTACGAGTCGGTGCTTGGAAAGTTTGGCGATAAAAGGATTAATGATGCTGGCAAGCTTATACTGGCTGTATGCAAGGAAAAGGGTTTTCTTGTGACAAACACTATGTTTAATCACAAAAAAAATCCATATGTATACTAGAGAAAGAAAGAATGAGAGAAGTATGATTGATTTGTTCCTGATGGATGACCGACTGCGAAAACAGGTGATGGATACCCGAGTGTTCAGGGGTGCTGACCTGGGAACGGATCACTATCTAGTCTTTACTAGATTTAGGAGTCTGTTCGCGGGTTGGCGCTACCGGACGGCAGTGACAGAACCACAGTTGGTCTGTCGCATCCGAAGCTGGAAGCTTCAGGAAGCGGATACTAGGGACAAATATCATGCGAGGGTAGCTGAAAAGCTTGACACCATCGATTGCAGAAAAGAATGTGTGGAAAGAACATGGCAGAACCTTAGGGATGGAAGGGTAAGTGCAGCGGAAGAAGTGCGTGGAACGATAAAAAGAGGTTGTACACGCCCCTAGCTGTCCCGACAAAGGTCGGTCACACAGGGGCCCATACAGCTGTAGACTCGACGGACAACTAAGGACGGGGCCAATGACCACATGGAAGAATGTCCTATAATACTAAGCTATATGGGAGAAGGCTAGGGAAATATAGTACTTACCTGTTTCCGACTCTTAGATCGCCCCAAGTCTCGGTCAGGCCGTAAGTGGGTGTGAGGTACATGGCAATTAGTGTTTAGTGATGTGTAAATGTCTGAGACCTGGACCAGCTTAGGCGACCAGCAGCGGCCGAGTTCCAGGCTGCCCCACAATGCTGCATCGCTCCAGCAGGCTCCACCGCTGGACCATTTCTTTCTTCATTGTCACTATTTCAGTCTATTAGCTTCATTGTACATTTAACTAACTTAAACTCGCCTAATTCCACATTCATCGTAGAATCGAACACGTGATACCCGACACAGTGAGGATAGTAGTTCAAAATTCGACATTCAATGTCCCGGATTCACTTTTTTTTTAAAGGATCGGGTGACAAACGAGCACACAGTCCACCTGATGGTAAGTGGTTACTGTGGCTCATAGACATTTACATCTATCCTCAATAAAGACTCAAGATGCAGATGCGTTGTCACCCGTGAGGACTAAGATGGAATGCCTCTTTGCCAGTAAAAAGGGTCTCCGGTTCTCTACACTCACCATACGAAACACAGCAGCGTTAAACTGCTATTTTACGCTGGTTTTCTGTGAGATTATCACAAAATTATAAATAGGGAACTAACGCGATCTGTTAATGAGTCATACGGTTCAGCGTTAAACACAACTAAGTTTCTTCATTCGATACCAAAACACCACGTTGTGAAAATAATTCAAAATACGCCTCGTTGACACGTAAACTAACAAGCCAACCAACACACAAAAAAGGGCACTTAACGCGACGGCACAGTTATAATGATTTCCTGACAATCAACCGGGAGAAGCTCTCGAACAAGGAATGCGCGTTTCGAATTCTAGACCGTATATCTACTAGACGCGCGCGTGCACAATTCGCATCAACCGAACAAGTTAAATATTGCAAAATTCACATATCCACGTAGCGAAGTAACACGCACTAAATCTAACTATCTGGACCATATACGGTCGCGTGAATTTCGGCCGCGATAACCTAGATATGCGGCTTCACCGCATCGCGACCAGCGAACTACTCTTCTTCGCCCACGCGTCGAGCCACTGCAAGCCGCACACGGCCGCCCCACCTGGCGGCGTTTTTTCACCTACTTACCATCGGGTGACGCGCCAGCTCGAACGCAATTGGATGGCGTTCAAAAATGACCAAATTTGGGCATAAACAGAGGTAGTAGTAAAAGAAGAGATGCATGGTGAAATGATGAAGTTAAAGAAGCTGTAAAGAAGAAGAAGAAAGTATGGTTAGACTACTTGGCCTCTAGTAATGATAAGGATATGAGAGAGAAGATGAAAGAAAGATATAAGCTGCAGAAATTTCATACGAAAACATTGATTGAGGAAGTGCATGGAAGGTGTAGAATGGAAGCGGACGAAAGGTTGTCGCACAACTTTAAGGAAAACTCCAAACTCTTCTGGAAAGAGGTTGGAAGGACCCGAAGTGATGCGAATGCTTTAAGAATGAACAAAGTGCTTTCGAGAACCAATGACGTCCTCTCAAAAAATCGGACGTCATGCAGCGATGGAGCGAATTTTATAGAGAAATGTATGCGTGTGATGATCTTAGTAAGGGAGCCAGGGGTGACGCCGTGACTGGTACGCCAGACCCGGACCTCGATAACACTGAGGTCATCAGTATGAAAGAGATTGAACGTGCGATTCAAAGTTTGAAATGTGGTAAGGCTGCGGGACTAGACAGAGTTACTGCTGAAATGGTCAAGTATGGAGGGCCTCGCGTCTGGGACAGCTTTCATCTGCTGTGCAATTTGTGTTGGCGGACGGGGGATGTCCCGGGTGATTGGCGATCCGCAGTCATTGTGCCTTTACATAAAGGTAAAGGTTTACATTTTGACTGCGGGTGCTATCGGGCGATCAGCTTGACCAGTTTAGCAAGTAAAGTTTACTCGAAGGTTTTGACACGTAGGATGCAAGAGAAATTGGAAAGATTTCTATGGGAGGCACAATGCGATTTTAGATCTGGAAGAGGATGCACGGATCAAATGTTTTCTCTCCGCATGATCACGGAGAAGCTTCTGGCTGCTAACCAGAAGATTTTCTGTGCTTTTGTGGATCTTGAGAAAGCATTTTATAAGGTTGTAAGGAAGAAAATGTGGGAGCTGTTGCCGGGGTATGGTGTGGATGGTCGATTGCTAAGGGCTGTGCAGTCACTTTACTGTTACTGTAAATCCTGTGTGCGGGTAGGGCATGATCTGTCACTCATGTTTAGCATCCAAACGGGCGTAAAAAAGGGTTGTGTCATGTCTTCCTGGCTGTTCATACTGTATCTCGACAGCTGTTTACAGAAGCTGAAAGATAGCTGTTTGGGTGTGAAATTGGGTGACATTAAAGTAAATTG